GATGAAATCGGATAGGAATGAACGAGTTTAAGAGTTTTTAAGAGTTTAAGAGTTTTAAGAGTTTAAGAATTTTTAAGAGTTTTAGTCAAATGCTTTATAATATAGTATAGATTATACATATATAATACATTTTACATAAAAACTTTATCGATCTCTACCATCCCAACCTTTGTTACTTTTTTCTTTCACCGATTAAAGCAACAAGCCACGCCTCCTTCACTCTAGTAGCGCTTATTGTTCCTTTTTTTTCTACATTCTAATCAGTGACTTATGTTTTTTTCCCCTTCTCGTTTTTTCTACATTCTAATCAGTGACTTCTGTCAATCTCCTTCCACAGTCATCTATGTCACCATTGGTACAACTCCATGTCTAGTCTCCCTCTTCCTTCTTCCCTTCCTTACATCTCCAACCTAAATCCCTCTCTTTATCATCCCCTTCGTTTTAAATATGTTTGCACCTCATGGCAATCCTCTATATAACCTTTCATTTCCAGTTTTTTGATTCTTCCAAACACCGGAATCTCCGACACAACCTAAGACTTCTGCCTCTCCAAATGCATCATATTCTGTTTTAGATTGCATGATCATGATTCTCAACAAACCCATGCTCTGCGGCTAATCAAGATCGAAAAAGACATCCTCCAAAAAACCAATTTGATGAATCCCTTGACTGGATTTGAATTCATACCCCTCATGCCCAATTTTCCTAGATCCCTTCATTTGTTGAATTTCAGTGTCTCAAAGAGTGGTGGTTGAAATATGGGTGGCAGTTGTAGGAAGTGATCGGAGTGGCTATTGTACTAGCATGGGGAAAGGGGTATGAGAAGTGATCGAGGGAGAGGGAAGAGATGAGGTGTCTCGCTGTCATTGGTAGCTTTTAAATCTAATTTATAACTTTTAAAGGAAAATGAGTGAAATAGAAAAAAAAGACTAAAACGTGCATCCCCTAACGGATGGATTTCTAATGGTGTTATAGGGAGGAACCAAAATCGAGTGAAAATCCAAACCACGATGGCAAATCTATAATAAAAAGATGAAGAGATCAAAACTGATGAAATGAAAAAAATACAAGGACCAAAAATGTATTTTACTCAAATTCAATAACGTGTTTCTAGACATTAAATATAGTTGTGGAAGATAGAGACAAAAGTGTAACATGTGCTTGTGGTGCCTTTTAACGTTGTGTCATCTAAAATCTTTGAATGCTTTTCGGAAAGAATATGAGATTAGGTTACAATGATTGGCAAACATATATTACGTCTAATATTTGGTTTATTATTTTCAAATAAACACCAACTTTATTTATAATTAAGCAGTGTTTTAAATCTAATACAATATATGATGATTAATTTCTATATGATGGTTATATTTAAAGATATTTCGTCAAATCGGTTAAATGATTTAACTAATTAAGTTCAAAGTTAAATATCTTATTTAAATGAATTATTTAATGGCCATTAAAAGCACGGATTAAATTTGGAAATTTGTAGAAATCATGATAACTGTTTTGTAATTTTAAAATTACAGAGACAAAAAGTATTATTTTAACAAAGTATAGGGACCAAATTTGTAGTTTACTCTAAAGAAAAAGAAAAAAAAGCATATGAGGAATTGGAGAAACGGTACGAGTCACTCCCCGACGCGTTAACTAAAACCAATTCCACCCTATTTAATCCTCCATCTCCGCCTCCATTATCTCTCTCATCAACCCCCCCCCCCCCCCCCCCCCCCCCAACTCTCTGTTACTTTTTCCGGCCAATCATGCCGCCCACCGACAGCCATGGTTCCTTTCTCACCCGGATCAGTATCCGCCGGAACCAGGTTGTCTCCATGGACGTCAACCATGAACAAGAGCTTGAAGAAATCGAATTGTTTCAGAAACACGTATCCGATCGTTTCATTCAACTCTTACCACCTCAATCTCCTATCCTTCCCACCGCCGCTGACGGAGAAGAAACAACAGTCGTCGACACACCCGAAACCCTCCTTTCCATCGACTGGTTCCGTAAACTCCTCGATGCATATCTTTGCTGCGAGTCTGAATTCAAGGCGGTTCTGATAATTGGCCGGGACGCCACTCATTTCTCCAAACCGCCTCTGGACCGGCTCCTTCCTGAACACCTGGACCGGACCGTCAAAGCTTTAGACATCTGTAATGCGATTACTCACGGGATTGAGTTGATTCGCCATTGGCAGAGGCTTGCCCAGATTGCGGTGGAGGCTCTCCAGCAACGGCCAATCGTTGAAGGACACGTCAGGAGGGCAAAAAGGGCATTGAACACACTTCTGACGTCGATGACGGTTGGCGACAAGGAGATCAACCACCACCCCGGAAAATCAGCAGAACGAATGTGGTCAATCAGTCGGCGTGGTGGTGGTGGTGTTGTTCCCCCCACCGTGAACCATTATCGAACGACAATCGGAAAACCAAGATCATTCTCGTATTGTTTTTCCAAGTCATGGTCTGCTTCCAAACAGATTCAGGCGATGTCTACCAATCTTGTGGCTCCCCGCGGTGGCGAGTCGACTGGGTTGGCTCTCCCGGTTTACATAATGAGTTCGGTTTTGGTTGTAGTAATGTGGACGTTGGTTGCGGCGGTTCCATGTCAAGACCGAGCGGGGCTGGGGAGCCATTTCCAGCTTCCAAGACACCTGGGGTGGGCCCAACCTATGATCGGATTGCAGGAGAAGATAGGAGAGGAGTGGAAGAAGAAGGAGAAGAAGGGAACGGCGGGGTTATTGGCTGAGATACAAGTGATAGAGAAAGTAGCTCAGAATCTTGTGGAATTCAGTGAAGGGTTTGAGTTTCCAGTGGGGGCGGAGAAGGCGGATGAAGTGGGGGCACAGGTGATGGAACTGGGGGAGATATGCCTGAGAATGGAGGTAGGGTTAGGGCCGTTGCAGTTGCAGGTTAGGGAATTGTTTCATAGGATGGTGAGGAGCCGGGCGGAGGTGCTTGACGTCATGGACCAAGTTGGTAAAATTACGACGCCAGTCCCTTACTAATGCATACATACACACACATACATACATTACATATATATACATGCATACATATATATATATATATATACATGCTTTGCTTTATTTGTTTGTACATTTGTGCTTTTTAGATGCCTAATACCATTTTATTTTATTTCTTTGACAAATTCAAATGTATACAACAAATTGAACTTATACATACTTTCTATATTTGTTGAACTTGAACCCCTTAATAAAAAAAATGAGTTATTAGATGTAGTCAGGTTAAAGGCAATTGATGATGTCTATAGAGCCGTGCATGAGAGTGTGTACCAATGTGAGAACTAAGATATACTCTCCACCTTTGGTGAACTTGAAACCCTTGACTCGTAGAAAGAGTGAGCTATTAGATACTGCTAAGTCAAAACCCCATTGACGATGTGTTTTGGCCGTGCCGAATGGTGTACTAATGTAAGATTCCAAACTTTTTTTTTTGGGGGGAGGGATTTTATATGTTTTAGCCTATACCCAATTATATATAGAGTAAATTACATGTTTCTTCCTTGTGGTTAGATATTTTAACGGTCATTGTCCCATTTCGAAAAATTTAATGGAACATGTTCTTGTGGTTGCGTTTTTTAACAAGTTATACCCCTGTAGTTGCATTTTTTTAACGCGTTGGGGTCCATGTGGTTGCATTTTTTAATGAGTTTGCTCTCTAAATAAATCAATGTCTTGCGTCTATGTGGTTGCATTAAGGACCTAGCTCGTTGTACAAATGCAACCACAGGGACAAGATCCACTGAATTTAAAAAAAAAAAAAGATAAAGACAGTTAAAAACATATAACCACATGGGCGAAACATGTAATTTACTCTCTCTCTCTCTCTCTCTCTCTCACACACACACACACATACACGTGCGCGCACATATAGGCGAAGGATCGTGTGTGGAATAGAACTTAAGATGAGAAGTGTAAGAAGAGATTTGGACCTTGATCACCATTAATCTCAAATAAACTCATGAATTGGTTTTAGAAGGGAATTGATCTGTTGTATTTCATTAGTGTTGATCAAGTATTTCTTTTCAACTAGAGTTGATCTAAGCATGACGATCCCGACTTACCCTTCTCATCACAACTTTCAGTGGAATCCAACCTTTTATATTTGTAGACGAAGAATTGTTTGAGAAAAGAAGTTATGATGAGAAGTATAAGAAGAGATCTGAACTTTTAGTCATTTTTAATCTCAAGCCCACCCATGAATTGCATTTTAAAAATGAATTGATCCGATGCATCTTGGTGCATTTCATTAATGTTGACATTAATCCAAGGATGAAGATCTCTTTTTACACTTCACACCCTAACTTCTCTTCTCCACAGAACCCAACATTATATTTATATAACCCATGTTTTAGCTTAGCCCTTTCTGCCATCTCCCTCTTAGTTGAGCCCATTTCACAATTATAATGTTTTACCAATTTAGCCCAACGCCCTTTGATAACACAAATAAATGCTAAGGTTAAGGGAGAATTTGGCCCTAGAATCAAGCTGTGGTTTCTTGAGAAATTGAGGTAAATAATAGTCTGTAAACTCCTGTACGCTAATCTTTCAAATTAACAATATATTGAAGAAAGTTGATTACGATGAATTGACTGAAGACTTTGTGTCAAACAAAATTAGAAAATTAATTCGATGCAAGTGAATTTCATGTCATTTTGCTATTAGAGGACATTTTGTTGTTTTAATTTATAACAATTTTAATAAAAATATGGTATGAATTATGTACTTTATCTTGATATAAGTCTAACAGCGCCTCCAAAAAGATTGGAACTACTTGATAACTTGCAAGTATTACAAACTACAATAGAATATGAAGCAAAGGAATCCAACATCCAAATTTCATTGTAAGAGGCTAAGAGCAATGAAAGCAAATGAGAGTAACATTTTGGCCCATTGTTTTGAGGCCCAAGTAAGTTGAGGCCCATTGTTTTGAGGCCCAAGTAAGTTGAGGCCAAGCCCACAAAATGAGAGTAACATTTTGGACTCAAAATCACATTTGCTTTCACTCTTTATCTTAATACCCCAATGCCCAATTGTCTACATTATAAAAGGTTAACATTTTTTAAATTGTACAATTGTTTTTTTAAGTAAAATTTTGAAAGGCATCATATTACTTCATTATTAAGAAAATAATTTGTAGTTAATTTTAATTATTCAGCAAGCATTTAAAGTATCTTATGATAATGATACAATAAAGATAACTATGCATGTCACAAACAATTTTATTGATTTCAAATAACTATTAAAAATTAAAAGAAAAAATATCAGATGACTATTTTTAGGGTGCGTTTGATATACTAAAAATGACATAACTGAATATAACATGGATCACCGATTCACTATTTCACGTTTTGTAGGACTTTTATGTGGAACATACAGAAACAAAGTGGAACAAATGTGTTCCACCCCCATCCCCCTGGAACAAGATGAGACATATCTATATTTTACCAATATAATATCAAAATTAAACTTAATTCTCTTTTAAAACTAAATACACCTCAATTTTTATATTTTATTCATTCTTTAAATCTTATTTACTGTATTTTATGCTCTTTAAACTTTCACTTTACTCTGTTAAACAAATATTTGTTATACGATTTCCACATTTTGATTAATTTATGTAATTTGTTAAACATTAACAACAATAAAATATCTAAATTGTATAAAATAAAAATTGGAAACTACATAAAAATTTTATTTCTGTCATTTTAATTGTTTTGACGAAGACTTTCCAATGATATTTTTTTTATTAAAATATATATTTTATTATAATTTAATAAATTACATAAATTAATAATAATATATAAACTATTCATAGGCGTAAATTGGTCATTTTAGTTGTTCTATCATTTTAGTTATGTCTTACCAAATGTTGAACAATTTTTCTGTTCTGTTCTATCTGAATACCTAATGTACGCTTAAGGGACAAAAAAACAAATATAGATTCATTGGGTTTCTTGATTATAATAAATCAGATATATGATAACCTATATAAGTCATTAACATTTAACAAGAAGATCTCTTGATTCTTGTTTGTATAAAAATATGTTTACTTTGTATTACATATCGTTTCCAAGTTCCAGTCTTTTATTGATAAACTTTGTAACAGTTCATATCTTTCACGTATGATCGTCTCCTATACCCCCATTCTACATGGAAGGAAACTATAAAGACTATTTTCTAGAACGAATGGTCTGATCAAACATTTTATTGCGTATTTATTCTAAACTTTATACCCTGTTAACATCGGAGTGACCATCAATTTGAGACTTTCCTACCAAGAGTTTCTATCTCGAGATCCATATATTTTTCATTCTTTATATGTATTTGAAATGCTTAGCTCATAATCAATCACTTTCATTAAATCTTTGGTAATTTAGTAGACAATACACAAGTGCTGGAAGCTTCCTTGCAGATTGGCTATCTAGTTATCTTCCTTTATTAAATTTATTTCTTGTTAAAGATCAACCATGTCTAGAAAATGTATATGTTGGTATTTTAGTTATACAGGTTTTATTCATGACAAATTGATCTAAGGGGCATGGAATATTTATTACCATTTGATAGAGATAAAGAGGTTGTTTTCATGAATACATGACATCGTTGGATGGCAAGTCATGGGATTACCAACTATTAAAGCAGTTAAGGAAAAATTGAAAAACAGTCTTGAAATTGTTCTTGATGACATCTATTTTTGAAGGTAGAAAATAGATGGGATGGGTTAACATGATTTATAAAACAATAATCTTATTCTAACTTATTAATAAACAATATTTTGTGTTATAAATTAAGATGAAATCCAATTGAATCTTGTTAATTTGGGTGGCATGTGATCAACTAATATCGTAGTTGGTCAAAAGTCAACTAGCAAGTAGCCAGCCCACAGGGGTCCTACGTTGGTGTTCTAGATTAGGATATTACATAGAAAATGATGTACAATAATGTAATGTTTTTTAATTAACCTTTGAAAGTCGGTATAAAACCTTCTTTCCTATTACTTCTTGACTTTAAAAAAACATATATATGTATGAGAATTCAAACGAAAAGACGATTAATTTGTGAGAAAACAAAAGTTCCAAGATCATATATGAATAAACATGATATGAATGCTTAAACATATATGATTAAACACATGTTGTATTGACCAATATATAGCAGTCGACCTTCCCTCGCGGCCTTTGGTTTAATTCACCAACTCACCCACGTCTCTATTGGATGTGTTTAATCATATATGATTAAACGTTCATATTATGTTTAATCATGTATAATCTTGAAACTTCTCGTTTTCTCGCAAATTGATCAACTTTTTGTTTGATCATTCCTCTCTCTCTCTCTCTCTCTCTCTCTATATATATATATATATATAATTATATCTATAATACGTCTCATCAAAGAAACTTGTATAGTTTGGAAAAAGGTTTTCGATTGCTAAATGCGAGAGAAACTTCATCCCTTTCTTTCATTTTTTCACGCCCATTATTACCAAGACGATCGATCATACATGAAAATGAAACATTCCGTTGACACACATGTACTCAAGTAATTTATTGGACGATATCCAAATCAAATATTCGAACTCAAAACCTTTTAAATAAATTTTAAAGAAATTTGACTAATTTAGCTGTATCTAAATGATAAAATTGATTTACGTATTCTCTAATAAACAATTATTATAAAATGACCAAAACAATTATTCCAAATTTAATAAGTTCATGAGAATGGCGTTTTTGTCCTTTTGTGTTTTATATAAAAATTATTGACCCAGACCCATTCTTTCTTCTAAATTGACTTGGTGCTTTTCATACCCTTTCGGGCTCCTAAGTCCTAAGTCGGTATGGTTTGGTTTTGAAATAACGTTACTTGATCTCCATAGGTTGGGTTTGTGGTTTTGGTTGTCAAACCAACTGTATAAAGTTGACTTAATATAAATCAACCTAGAAATGTTAATTTTGGGATATATTTCGTACCATGCCAATAAACATATGTAAGGGTCATTTACCAACTAAAATCAAGTAATTGTTCACTTATTGAATCAACATATGATAAGACGGGTTTGGTAAGTATCATCATCTCTGACCGGATAAATGTCTATTATGGAAATACGATTTAAATAATTAATAAATAACCCATTTATAATTTTCTGAATAAGATTGAAGAGGAGAGGACTTGGTCTTTCTACCAAGTTGAAGGTGAATGTTGTTTTGGCATATGGCATGGGAAATGGACTCACTATTATTTTTCTAAGTTCATTTGTTGAACAAGTAGTTATCAATATCAAACCCCTGTTTCCTCTCTCCTACCTTCCCTCCTCTTATAAAACCACACTTTCCACCATTCCACATCTTCAATTCCTCATCTTTTCTCCAATTTTTCAACTATTCAACACACCTACAGTCATCATCATCATCATCATCATCATCATGCCTGAAAGCAAGGTGAAGTTTCTTTGCATTTCTATTTTATATCACACACACTAAATCAAGTCAAGATCTTCACAATCACCACGAATTTACATTTTTTGTTGGGTTATCCTCGAAATCAAGTCACCGATCTTCAATAAAATCATGGGTTTCATCTCATTTTCCTTCTCTGTTTCTTGAAATTTTGCAAAAATCACACACCCCAGAGGGAATTTGTGTCGTTTCCTTGGATTTAGATGGACTTCTTTTAATGAATGTTACAGAAACAATCTAAACTCTGTTTTCTTATGCTTTTAATCCCATTTTCATGGATGACTGTTATTAATCTGAATTCAATTGCAGAAAGTGGTTGTTAAAGTGGATGCTCATAATGATAGAGATAAAAGGAAGGTTTTGAAGGCAGTTTCCAAACTTTCAGGTTAATATCGAGTTTGAATTCCATCCTATATATTATACATTTGAGACTGAACTTACAAAAAAACACCTTGTTTTTATAGGGATCGAGTCGCTAGCCATGGACATGAAAGACCAGAAATTGACGGTGATCGGAGACGTTGATCCGGTATGTATCATCGCAAAACTTAAGAGGTGTTGGCACCCGATAATAGTGACCGTGGGACCAGCAAAAGAAGAGAAAAAGGGGGAAAAGAAGGATGAGAAGAAAGACGATAAGAAGGATGACAAAAAAGACGATAAGAAGGATGATGGGTGTAAATTACTGGCGGATTATTACAGAGCTTACAATCCTTGTATGACACAGCGTTACTGTGTTTATAGCATTGAAGAAAATCCCAATGCTTGTGTTATTTGCTGAAAGATTGCAGTTTTCCAGAATCATGGGGGAAGAAGATGATCAACCTACAACTAAAGATGATCATATACATATTATATATATATATATATATGGGTTTGGATATGGATATGGATATAGATACGGATTGTTGGTGATTATATCTATGTTTCATTTATAAAAGGATTGTGTATAGACCGATATAATTCAGAGAATAATAATTAATAATACAATTTGGAAATTTTGATTTGATGATCTTGGTGTCTGGTGAAATATACGCACATCGTAACATATATGATCTGACAGTTTTGTCCCTGTTGATTACTAGTATCTTGTGTAGAAAGCAGGGGCGGAACACACACTTTCCAAGCGCAGGGGCCGAACCTAATATTATATATTTTCAAAAATGCCAAAAATACACTGAATCTAGAACTAGAAGTGACTGTGCAACAAGTCTTGGACAGCTTTAGCAGAAAATTGTCAAAATTTACAGTTTTAGAGATATGTCTTGTACATCAGGAGTGGAGGATTCATTATGTAGAATCWGGAGATGACAAGATGTAGACCAAAACTCGAACAACTATAGAATCAGAAGCAAAACATTACCCAATACTGAAGTAAGCAGCTTCCTTATTCTGCCTTAAACCAAGTCTGCCAAAACACCGAATCTTGTTCTTCTCTCTTTTTTGRTTGTTGTAAAATTTTATTCTGGGTCGAGTMTTAAGTCAATTCCCGTAACTTGAGTTGGAGGCAAATTCAATAAAAAGTAACAACAAACGCAACAGCAGACTATAAATGGGTCATTAAACTGCTAGGTATAACTGTCACATTGGCTCAACTATCTTCCTTGTTTAACCAAGTAATTGTCTCCTAGAGAAATAATAGGACTTGATATTAGGCATGTATGCTATCACACATTTGAAACGAAAGAGTAGATATCTAAACTAGGACTCCAGAAAAAAAAAATTTAGATTTTGATACGAAGTGCAAGTAAAAGATGACAGCTACTTTTGACAAATCCTATCACAAGAGAACACTTGCATTTCAACAGTTACATCAAGTATGACCAGTTATTGCACTGCTTTTAATTACACAGTGAAGTGTTCGTTAGCAGTTTTAGACTTTAGTGTTAGATTAATCACCTAAATCACCACATAAAGTCATAAATTTAGACCTAATAATCACCTAAATCAGTAAAGAACAAACCCATGACTGTTAAGTGTTAACCAAAGAAACCAGTGAACAAAATACAAACCAGTGAACTARTGAAGAGTGAACTGTTAAGGCTATTCCAATGGTACACCGTGTATTCACAGAATCACAAATCACAAGCCCTAACTTAACTCTACAGACTACAACTCTACTCAATCTGTATGATTTCAAATTTTCAATTCAGCCACATAACCAATTAATCACCACATAAAGTCATAAATTTAGACCTAATAATCACCTAAATCAGTAAATCACCACTTTTGGGTTTTGATTTCAAAACAAAAGGTGCAAAATTTCACCTGTCAATCTGTCATTAGCAATTTAGCAGCAAGCAGTAGCAATCTTTATCTAGGTCTAGCAGACTAGCAGTCAAGCAGAAGCAGTGAATGTGAAGCAGAACAGGAAGTTGAACAACAACAGTCAACACCAGAGAATGAGAGAAGCAGGGGCTTACTAGTTACTACCGTCGACCGTCGTCCGTCGCTGACTCGCTGTCGTTCTCGCTACTGCCTGTTGGTCGCTCCCGCCTCCCTGACTGTCTCGCCTGGTCGCTCGCTGCAGTGGTGGCCCGTCGGCCGTCAGTCCTTCACGGCGTCACCGTCGTCCGTTGCTCTCGATTCGATTCTCGCCTGAGTAGTCGTCTCTCGGGATTAGAGGGGAGGGGCCGATGGAAATTTTTGGTTTTCTCTAAGCTCTAGCCTAAACTACTCAAAGGTATTTGGCAAAAAAATCGCAGGGGCCTGGGCCCCTATAGGCCCATAGTGTGTTCCGCCCCTGGTAGAAAGGGATAGCAAACGGTTAATTATAATTACTAACGGTTAATTATAATTATTGTATCCATTTAAAATAGCGTATGACAAAAATTAAAAATATCGGATAACGAAACAGATAATAAGTAAACGGATAAAAAACTGATTTCGAAGTAGAAATAATAGTATTATGATAAACATCTAATTTTGTTTCATATTTAATTTGTTCTAATAAATATTATAATGTTATTCAAAATATAATTATAATGTAAAAACATTGTATACCACAATATGAAAATTCAAATATAACATTATAAAAGATGCTTAGGAACTGTTTATCAAATGTTTACATGAATAAGCATCTATTTAGTTACATTGCTTTACCGGATGAATATGGTAAAAATTAAGAATTTTACCTGGTAAGAGCGAAACATGGTTGGCGTTTACTGGGAAAATTGTTGCATATAATGTCTTTTTGCTAAACTAAAATATATAAGTAAGTGATAATGTTGAATTTTACCGATAAATGTTTATCGGGTAAATATTTGGTAAACGACGCCTCAATCTACTTTGAGCGTCCTAACAAAGTATTTATGGACATTGATATTTTATGTTTATGGAGCTAACAAATGTGAATTCTATGTAGTCGTGTTATAATAAGTTGTTCAAGTAAAGTTGGACAATCTAACAAGTTATATCATGAAGTTGGGAAACCAAATTGGACTCTCAAAGAAAACCTTATTAAGAGGTCGTATACCAAATACTTATTCGGTAAGTGCTTACAGGTAAATTTTAACACTATTATTTACTTATTGAGTAAGATATTAATCCATCAAGATGACATCGTATACAACAATTTACCTCAGTAAGTCCTTACCGTGGTAAGAGTCGTTGTCCTCACTTACCGGGTAAGACTCTTGATCTTTGTCTTGCTCTTATCATGTAAGATTCTTGATCTTTACCATCTTCATCCGATGAGATATTGTGACTTGACAAGAACTTACTTGGGTAAGCGTTTGGTAAACGACCCCTAAATGTTTTTATAAAACTTGTTATATAAGACACTTTAAAAAATGTTATATGAAAAAAGTTAATATGACAATTTTTTTTATTTTATTATATATATATAACTTTATCGATAAAACTTATAAGATGATCATAATAACTTGTTGTAACTTTATGACTTATGACGTACATTTATTGACCTCATAAACTTATAATCATATTAAACAATTATTAAAAGTTCTAAGAACTCATCTTTCTATTTCATAATTACATAAATTTAAGAGTAAACTACAATTTTAGTCCTTGTGCTTTTCACCAATTTTTAAAAGTGATTCTTAAACTTTAATAACTATAATTATCGTCTATATTGTTTATATTTTTTGATCACTAACTCCGTTAGATTAATCCATTAAATGAGGGTTTTATGTGTCTTTTTACCCTTTTTTGTCTTTATCTCAGGAATTTTTTTCTTTTAATTTTTATTTATTTATTTATAACAATACATATTAACACAATATATATGTAATCACATATACACATAATTTATATATATATATATCTCTCTCTCTATATATATACATATTTTATTTTTTAAAAAGTGGTTACAAACACCTTTTTAACCATATTACTCTGGATCATTTCAGTCTAAATATTTGGATAGGTTATTCCATTCTTTTTTTCAAGGTTTTCTTTTTCTAATCTCATCCTATATTTAGGGAAAAGACCAAGGGAGAATTTTTTTTAAAAAAAAAGAAACCAAAAAAACTACAAAAGAAACGTCATTTCCCCCCCTAAATATATGATGAAATCAAGAGAGAACATAGCAAAAAAAAAAAAAAGAACTGAAAAATCCATCAAGACCGTTAAATTGATACGGATAAGGTTAAAAATGTGGTTATAGCCACTTTTAAAAATAATATAAAAATATTACACATAATTTTTAAATCGATAATCAACAAAATATAATAAAAAGATAAGTGAAACAAATTGCACAAAAAAAAGAGATTATTTTATTATCCATAATTTGACATGTATTTTGATATACTTTTTCATCTATTATTTTGTAGTTCTCTGTTTTTTTTTCAAGATTCTCCCTAAAATATAGGAATAAGACCAGGAGGAACCCTTGAAGAGAAAAGAACCGAGGAACTCATCCAAATCTTTAAATTGAGATAATTCTACGGATATTGTTAAAAAGTTGGTTATGATCATTTTTTGAAATAAAATGTAAACGTAAATATAAATTTGAATGTAAATGTAAATATAAGTATAAATGGGTGTATATATATAAAAAAATAAAAGTAAACTATGATTTTAGTCCCTAAGATAAAGACAGAAAAATGGTAAAAGGACACATATAACCCTCACTTAACGAACTAATCTAATGGAGTTAGTGATCAAAGACCATTTTCAAAGCAAAATGTAAACAATAAGGACGATAATTGTTGGTATTGAAGTTTAGGGACCACTTTCAAAGATTGGTGAAAACCATAGGGACCAAAATTGTAGTTTACTCAAAATGTAATTTTGAGTAAATTATAGTTTTTGTCCCCTGGTTTGTTAAAAGTTATTTCGTCTTTTTTGACTTTGAAAATTTGGTTTTTATCTTTATAGTTTGTAAATTGTTACTATTTTTTGTCTTCGAGGCTAATTTTGCTACCTTTAAATATATGGAACTAAAATAGTAATTTATTGTAAACCATAGTGATAAAAACAACAATAAAGTTTAAGCAATAAGGACAAAAATAGTAATGGTATACAAACCATAAAGACAAGAACCGTAATTTTAAAATCATGATGACGAAATCCGTAATTTTCAACAAATCACAAAGAGGAAAAATATAATTTACTTTCCATTTTTCTTAATATGACCTTCCCAGTGGATGCATATTTTGAGACATATCTACATTATTTTCCTTCCACATGAACGAGGTTCAAATAGAAAGGGTAGAAAAGTCAATTTAATCGGAATAAGACTTTTGGATATTTGAAGCAATAGTAATAGTGGTAGTCATACTATTAATTGTAACGTTGTTCCTTTGATGGCATGTGGTGCTCAACAATTTCAATGCCGTTGTCAACACGTAATAAATATTTTATTGAGAAAAAGAAACCCAAAAAAGACGATAACATGGATATTAAAGTTTTTAGGTGATGTTTGTTTCAATATGTTAAAAGAAATTGAATCGAATTTAATCATAGTTTTTGTTGCCAGAAATTGGAAAAATCTATCAAAAAATATATGAATATGTCAGTTTGATTCGTTGAATATAATCGTGGTGGTAG